AAAATTGATTTGGTAGTTGTCAAGATATCTTCGCTCAAAGTATTGAAAATTAACAAATTTTAATTTACAGGGGTGGGAGGTACGAATAGCAAAATTGGGGGGTATGTATAACAGCCGCCTTTAATTTTCATATTACATCTGATTCTGTTCTCTGATTGGCCAAAAACATGAAACCTGAGGTAAAATTAGTGAATGCCGGTATAACGGTTTTACTTTAGCAACGGATATGTTATTTAAAAGTCACTTGCCAACCCTATGATTTCCTAAAAAAATCGCTAATTGATTTTAGCCAATTAAAATTCTTGCTGATCAGCCAATGAAATCGAACTTAATTCACGCTTCAAATAATACAAATCCCAGTTTTCGAATTGCAATGTACCGAAATAATAGATCGTACTTAACTGAACTGATTACAACATTAATATTAAAATGAACAAAGCCAAAAAACGAACAAATATTTCTGACGAAAGTCTTGAAAAAGACATAAAACGAAAGCCGATCAAAGCTCGAAGAAACTCGCGAAATGAATTGGCTGTGTCTTTACGTGAACGATCACCAGTATCACTATATGAACAAACCATTGAAACAGATTGTAAGTTGAGGTCCAAATGTATTATTTATTTTGCTTTTGCAAAGTATCTAAAAGATTTTGCATTGGCATATATATAGCTAGAAAAGAACGTCGACGAAAAAAGGGTAAATTTCAAAGAACGAAGGCTCAAAAGGTAAGACTGGTATTCTTATTTTAGGAAATAGGCCATTCCTATTATTTTTTATTACGTCCTAACACATATTTTTAGGTGATCGCGAAAAATATTTCTGAAGTTTTCTTTGATCCAAATTATTGGAAAATCGTTGACATCAAAGTAATGTCATTATATTCGTCGTGCAATAGACAATTATTTATATAATTACCAACAGATTTTTTAATGTAGGAAATCCAAAACATAATCTTATATTTACTCGGTGGAAGTGGACATTGTCCTCCTTGGATCAGGATAAGGGTTGGTTATTCATAGAAGATTTTCACACTGGTGTAAAGTTTCCATTAATGACATTTTAACATTTGATATACCTTCTTTTTCCTCCAAGGGAAGGAATGAGATAAAAAATGTAGTTACTCTTATGATCCCAGGATTTGATCCTGGAATGTTTGGTATGTCTGGTGAATCGGCCATTATGATTAACAGACCAATCGAAATTTCACGACTCTTAGAAAGAGGATTATACGGAGATCAAACGCAAAATGCGCGTGAGGCACTTCCGGCGCTTTCTCAAGTATTCTCGCATGCGTGTGTTACACAAGCTCCTGGTGAAAACGGGAAGCTGCACTCTTCTTTTTTCAGTTTGATGTCCTGCTATATACCTGAAGTGTATAAGAAATACTTATCTGACAGATCAAAGGTGAATGTTAATGATGTTACTGATACAGTTGATGGTATGTTATCATTTGGCAAAATGTTATATTTGAGTTTCAAATTATTAATTTTAGTATTAATTCTCACCAGCCAGTCTAATTCAACAAAGAATTTTAAAATGCCTATTAACTCATGAACAAATGAAGGATAATTGCTATCCGATTCCCACATATATTGCTAAAGATAGTAAATCTTTACCTCCTGGTTGGGTCGAGATTAATTATCCAGAATATCGACCTCCTTCTCAAGAACAATATTCTGACGGAAGAGCTGAATTAAGGATTCTAGCTATAGATTGTGAAATGGTATGGACTCATTGTTGCACTACAAATTTATTAATTTACTTTTGAAGGACGAATTTATTTACGCCGTGTTAGTGTATTACGGCAGATGGTCCAGCCCTAACTCGTGTATCGGTAGTTGATGACAAACTTAAAGTTCTTTATGATTCGTATGTCAAACCAGACCTACCAATAACAGACTATTTGACTGAGTATATATTATATTTTTATGGATTATATATATATAGTGAAATTATAAGGATTAAATAGTAAATTTTATTTCCGTTAGGTTTAGTGGAATAACCGAGGAAATATTGCATGATGTTACTGTTACCATCAAAGACGTTCAAACTCAGATTAGTGAGTTGGTCGACAAAAATACTGTTTTGGTGGGACATTCTCTTGAATGTGACTTGAAAGCATTGCGGGTACCGAATATTTCATAAAATTGTATAAATTTTGATACTATTAGTGAAATTAACCGTGAATTTTTATGTTTTAATGTATTAGTTTGCACATCCATTTATAATTGACACGTCAATTCTTTATTCTGACCCCCGCAATTCATACAAACCAAAGCTGAAAAATCTTGCAAAAATGTGGCTTGATAGAAATATCCAATCTAAGGGACCTCGTGGACATGATTCTATTGAAGATGCCATGACTTGCATGGATCTCCTAAAAATTAAATTAAATCGAGGTAGTTTATTTCGCTTAAATCTTAAACATTATTTAGCACATTACTGTTCCCTGTAGATTATTTATTTATGCTCGTATATATAGGTCTGGATTTTGATAAAACTCATGAATCCATTTTTGAACGTATATATCGTATGACGGGCAGTACGACTGCAGTTGTGGATCGCGAAGCTAAAGCTGATTTATATGTAGATGGAGCTAAAAAGGTTGTGACATGCAAAACAGATGATGAAGTACGTAAATTCCTATTTAGAAGATGCGCTTTTTTTTTAAAGCATAAATTTACGAGGTAGCAATTTTAGGTGTTGGATGCCTTAATAGAAATAGTAAGCAACGACCAAAATATTTTATATAACTTGGTATTTGGACGATTTCTTGACCTTAAAACTCTTCCTGATGATATGGATGGACGAATTAGTCTTGTGAAAAGGCTTGGTGAAAGAATTAATAAGATATATGATAAACTTCCAGTTAAAACAATGTTTATAGTTACTAGCGGTGGAGGTGATTCTAAGGAGTGGTTAACGTACGTGTAATTCTGCTAAATTCGATGTATTTTGAATCATTAATGTATAATTTTATTTTTTTATATCAGGTTTAGAGGCAAAAAACAAGAACAATTTAGTGATTGGACCGAACATGATGAACAAGAACTTCAAAATGCTTATCTTAAGGCTAAAGTTGGGTTTAGTTTCTTTAGGTTAAAATGATATTGAAGTTGATGAGTGTTTTACGAGTTTTAAAAAACAATTTACTACATTGTAACATTACTAAATTAAATAAAAATTATTTATATATAAAACAGTTCGATTAAAGTTGGTTTTAGAATTTTAAAAAAATAGTTTATATAAAAAAAATTTATTAGTAATTTTATAAAGTTTTGAAAAATAATTCGCACTTTGTATTTATATAATTCTTTACTATGAACTTTTCAATAATTACTCGAATTAAGATCTTTTTAAATGCAGGTTAAGAATTTGAGGTTTCAAGTTAAAGAATTGTTTTTATAAAATATTTATGGTTGTTGTTAATAAAGATTAATGAGATAAAATACTAAAATATAAATTTTATTAGTTGGTTTGCTTAAAATTATTTTTTTTTGTAATTTAGTTAATTATGCTGGTACTTTATTAAAAACTTGTATTTATTATATTATATACAACAAGTACCGTATATTCCCGAAAATATGCTACTTTCCTTTTTTAGAAAAAACGTAAAAACTTCTCTTGCCCGAAAATAAGTTATTTACGATCGTAAGTAGTTACTCTATAGTAAAGTCGAAATTTTACTAAGTAAATCGACATAGCTTATTAAGAAAGACTTGTTGAGGAGATCAAAATACATATACCCTAAAAGTTTCAACCAAATTGGATAGCATTTTATTAATACGTTTTTGCATGTTACGTTTGACGAATTTTTTAAAATTTCTTTAAAATTTCTTTAAATTTCATATTCGTTAAACGTAAAAATCAAAAGTCAATTAATAAAAAGTTATCTGATTTTGATGAAACTTTCAGTATATGTGTATTTTTATCTTCTGAACAACTTACACTTAACAAGCTAAATTGATTTACTTAGTAAAATTTCTCGAAATTGAGCAAAATCCACTTTTACCTTAAAATAAGCTACCCACAATATTTTCATGTAATTTTTCTTTCAAAAATGGTAGTTTATTTTTGGGAATCTATGCTATAGTTTTTATTAGAATCATAGGCATTTTTAACATGGGTTATAATCAGTTTTGGTTAAAAATAATTATTAAAAGTTAGAAAAATAGTTTTTTTTTTAATATTTTAGAATCTAGTAATGCAAATTAAATAAACCTTGCGTTTTTTATTT